TTGCACTAAAATACAGCCACACAAATGCCAAAATAAAAACATAAAATGGACACGCCCGATAGAAAAAGTAAAGTACAAAAAATAGATATACAATCTGAAAAACGATGCAAACAAGAACCAGGGGATCAAAAACAAATTAACAAAGAACGAACGACAGAACAAAATGGATGGATCAAACCACTTGAGAGTGTACGAAAAGAAATCCCATATTACTGCATGCATGAATGTCAACGAAAGGCACCCACACCATCAACAATTAAACTGTTCCTAATATCAACATCAAGTTCAGAAAATAGTTTAGGCAAACGTACAGTACATTCGCAAAATATTTGTAAGCGTCGGTCCTGGGGTTTAATAAGTGATAAAAAGTTTATCGGGATGCCTTGAATTAACTTGCAATGAGTTCAGAAAACCAGACATGAAATATGATGAACTGGACATTAAAAGTTGGGCGATAAAAGTAGTATTGCAAAATAGCCTTCTATTAAAAAGATCCATCAGCCCCAAACTCTGCAATCTATCTTGATAGGATTGCCCCATGTAATTCCAACTTGCTTGACGCTGAATGGATTCCATTGAATCAATATGTTTTTACGGTGAATCCACCAGACAGGTGAGAAGTAGTCCACAATTGGCAAAACAATGGTCATATACAGGTAAAGAGGTACACTAGAATGGCAAGTACCAGATAGAAGACGGATCAGACAAATCAGTCTGGTACACTTGGAGATGATGTCTCGAACGTGTAAATTCCAAGATAGATTACTTTGGAATAAGCAGCCAAGAAGCTTAAGAGGGCTCACGAATTCCCAAACAGCCCCATGTCAAACGGATGACTTTACTTTTGTTAGCATTTAAATGTAGGCAGTTGGACTCAGCCCATTCAAAAATAGTGTCCAAGTCCTTTTGAAGAACAGCATTATGATGACCAGTGTAGACATTAGTAAAGAGAAACGTATCATCGACATATTGCATCACGCTAGGTGAGATGTGTAGTTGTAGATCATTGGCATACAACGCATACAAAAAGAGGAGCCAGCACTGAACCTTGTGGCACACAAGAAGTGACTGGCAACCAATCGGAAGAGCAACCCTTAAATACAACTCGTTGCCAGTGATTTGTCAAAAAAGACTTAATCCAGTCAAGCGCCGCACCACAGATGTTGTAGCATGTTTCGAGTTTTTTAAATGAGAACTTTGTGAGATATGGTATCGAAAGCACGGCTGAAGTCCAATGATACTAGGTCCATAGCAGGCACTTTGGCATCCAAGGATTTCAGCCAGTCTGAAGTTCCGGATATGAGAGCTGCGGTGCAGGACCTCCCGGGTATGAAACCGTGTTGCTGGAAAGATATAAGGCCATTATCTAGACAATGGTCAAGGATCTGGGGGACGACAATCCTCTCCAAGAAACTATGAGAGTCAGAGACACAGGTATATACCGTAATTAAGAAGATTAATCTTATCGCCTCGTTTGTGAACAGGTACAACATTGTGCACTTCCAAGCCTTGGGCAAACAGCCTGAAGCTAGAACAAAGTTGCAAAAGTGAGTCAATGCTGGTATTACGGCGGGGCTGGATAATTTCAACATTCGAGCAGATATACCATCTGGACTATGTGCTTTAAGGGCAAACAGTTTCTTGATTTCAGAAGCAACCTGAATGGTAGTGACGTGGAAATCTGTAAGTGGTATAATCCCCAAAAGACACGTGATCAGTGATACTTAGTGAGAAGATACATCACTGCGCTGTGATTGTAACAAGGCCATTTCCTTATTTTCATATAGTGGACACTTTCCCCGTGCCAGTATTGCCATTGGCGAACCAAATAATTTAAATAACGCTTGGCGGTCGCAGGTCCTGCACTACGTAGCTGATCACAATGCAAAACCATCAGCCCTGCCCATTGCTCTGGTCAGGCGCTGGGCGACGAACGAACTTTACACCCAAGAATTGCAATCGTTTATTTGTTGTTTCATCAGGGTAGCCCCTTTAGCTGTCAATGAAATGTTTGAGGGGCCTGCGTTGCAATAAAATAAAACTCATTAAATGTAACAGGATGCTGACGCAATGAGAACCTATACTTGAGAATTTGGGTTTAACGCATAATTATAAAAGCAAAACAAAAACTTTTAAAAGTGGAGTAGGTTTAAATAGAATGATAATAATAGTAATAATATTTGAAATAATAATTTAGAATTTATGGTGCGCCCTTTCCACCAAAGTGATCAAGGGCGCATTACACTAAAAACTTTAAAAAAGTTCACACACACATACACAGAAACAATTTAAAATCCAAGCACACAAAACTATTTAAAACCAAAGCAAATTATACAAATGTAGTAGAGAGAAAAACACGCCACCATGCTAGTGCCCAAACCGGAGTATGGGGATACGTCTGTCCCGTCAACGGGATAACTAACTAAAAACGCCTAAACCCTGTGGACATCGGTGATGTCTCAACCTTTCCAGGGGACAGACGCCTCAAATCCTACCTACATAATTTCCGCTCTAACTACCTGACACAGTGACCCTAGGAATGCGAAAAGGAGAAAAGACCAGAATACAATTATACATTTAAATCAGAATGGCTACTATGATGATCCCTTCTTTTGTAATTCCGTAATTAAAAAAAGATTTTTCGGCCAAATGCAAAAACCTCCTATTAATTTGCATTTCTGTAGATGCTGAACAGCCTAGTTTAGTCACCTTTAACATGGGGACTTCCCTTGAGCTGCTTCATTCTTTTCCAGAGCCCGCCTCCAGCCACGTCCATGGGGATTGTATGTAAATATCTAAACCACGTGCTGATAAGGGTTTATTGACAAAGAAAGTGCCTGGGCAAGCCTTGGAAAGCCTGGGAAAGCCTGGGCCTGTCTTCTATCAATGGTCGGTCTCTCTTATGTGTCTCTGAGCTGTAGACAGCTGTTTGAGTAGTTCCATGTGTTGGGGTTGTCACATTTTTTTGGTTTTAACGGAAGCGATCTCAAAACGATCACCTTGGTGCAATGGGTGTAAAAAGTAGGCTCCGTGCAGTGAATTCAGCTGATACTCATATGACAGCGTCCGAGCATTAACATGAAAAAATCGGTCCTGTGCAGCGGAGGGTTAAAATACTCATCTAAAAGAGGAAAGTTTTCAATTTACATTTAAAAATACTAAGTCTTTGTTCCTGTCGAATGGAAAGTAGCAAAGCATTCCACAACTTGGGAGCTGCCACAGAAAAAGACCTATTACCTAGAGTGGAGTGATAACACACAACGAAGATGTCAGCGACCTACACAAAACTGGCAGATAAGCGACTTTGATGATTATTCGAGTTAGTGGTCTACAGAGAAATCTTGATGCAATGTTCACAGCCCTTAATGAGAATTCCGTGGCTGTCATGTGCCGTCTATGAGATGGAAATCTGCTTGTACTCCAAAGAAGAAAAGTGTTTAGAACGACCTGGCCTAAAATCTCACTGGGTACAATCCATATTGTCGGCGACACAGAATCCAAAAATGCACTAAAGATTCCAGAAAAAAAATCTTTCATATCCGTCACTGTAACGTACGGAACCCCTAAAGTGACATCCTTTTTTATCTCGTGGCATGACATATTCATTATCTTGCGGATATGGAAATTCGAATGGTAATAATAAGATGTTGCTGATCATTGGAATTTACAATTTTATATACTCTTTATACCCTTTGGTCCAAGTGCATTGCACATCAACCGTCGATTACTAAACTACTATATTTTATTCTTAAACAAATGTCCAAGTGAAATTGATTTTTTTTTGGCATCAACTATTTAATACATTTCAAACTGTATGGACGTGGAATTCCTGGCAATCTAAGATATATTTCATGTGTTGTCTTCATAAGCACTTATTCTCTTTATTTGTCGTAAGTTATCGGTGTATGATCCCCAGTAAGTCCAATATGTCATTATCCCAGTTTCAGTGTTCTATATATTTGTATTCATACATGCATTTTACTTTACTCAAATTACAGTTTTCTTATTTATCGAGTCTTTATGTTAAGTTTTATATTGTATGAAGTTTGTATATCTTTATCATACTTATTGTTCAAATTCAGTAGGTAATCTCGCTTGCTGAATCGCATTATTCACATAGTGTATAAAATACGAAAACATAATGACAACTCAGTAGCACTGGTTTTAATTAATCAATTTCAACTGTCAAGGGGCTTTATCGTCATAATCATAAAGTAGGCATGTGGCTGTACAGCGAAGGATGAACTCTCAATCGCTCGCTAGAGGTAACAAAGAGCGTTGTCTTTGTTACGTTGTGATATTGCAGCCGGCAGGTGCGTCCGTGTGCAGCAACTGCATTATTCTAGCTATAGCCACAGCCCCCTTGATTATGTGACACAAACAATAGCTATAGTCAATCAGGTTAATCAGTCTCACAAACAAACCAAACAAAAACAAAGCAAAACTATTAAAAGGTGTCCAATTAGAGTTTTGTGCACATCACATCTTTGTCAGTTTGCTTTGTGCTTCTCCACGAATAATAGCCAATCACTTTTTGAACTAGCTTATAATCGCACGCGTATTGAAGCAAATTGTCACATCATCAGTGCAGTGGTGTCATATTATGCGGTGACATCACTGCATAATGTACCCGGCATTTCTCTAACATCCGTCTGTATCTATGCAGTTTTCCAGAGGTTTGACTCTGAGTGCGAATGAATTCCACTACATCGGCAATAGTGCTGTAGCTTTTCCTCCTGACTAGGCCTGCTTCCTTTATGATCCTTTCAGATGCCGTAATGATACAATAGCACCAAGCTCTACTACCAATACTCGAACAGTTTCCTTGAACAGCATGCCCATGTTGCAATACACCTTGATGACGTCATTAAGTAGATTGGCATCGAGAGAGTTAAATTATATAGCCTTTGCAGTGCCCCCCCCCCACGTTTTCCAATTTTTAAGGAACGTCAGATTTCTTTAGGGGAAACAAAAAAGAGTGATACCCAGCGCATGTGGATTGTGGAGCAGTGTACAAAAACGTGAAAAAATATTCATTTCATCAATACTACACTACTCGAACTCAAATTACATAAAATGTCACACGGCAAAATCCATTCATCTCTGACTACTTCTTGTACTACGATGTCAAAATAAAAAAGGACAAAATACATTTTAATTAAAACTGTGCTGACGGGTATATTCTTCAAAACCTATACATCATATTGATATGATCTAATGAAAGGCTTTTTTTTGGCTCACACTTTACTGAAATCTGCTGTCTCTGCCAGCGACGTGACTGAGTCTGCAGTCTCTTTGCCAGCGATGTGACGGCGTTCCTTAAAAAATGGCTTCCAGGAAATCCCAAATTATTTCGTGAGCACGAGATAATATGTCATGCGCACGGCTTATTTTCTCGTGCGCACGAGATAAAAAAAAACATTTTAGATGTCCCTCTAGGGGCTCCGTGTTGTATTCATACTTTATAGAACAATTTTATAGGAAACTTGCCCTATTGAAAAAGTCAAACATTTGGTTCTTTTCTTTGTACATCGACAGAAACAGCAAAACCGATTTTTCAACAAGCAGAATCCATATTGGTCGCTGTTATTACAGCTAGCGGACGGACGATTTTAGTGATTCTTTTTTATTCCAAAGTATTCTAACCGATTTGCTCTGAAACTAATGCTGGGAAATTCTTTCCTGATCATATTTGCCAAAGAGGCCTTTTGTTAGCTGACTGGCAATATTATCTGCTGAGTATCCAAATAGTTTATAGTCTTTTTCATAGTATCCAGTCACTTTATGAACTACACCAAGTGGTACCTCCTTGTAATATTTAACAAGATTTTCCACTGCTTTCGAGACGTGGTATTTGGGGAACTGGACCAAGTGGTCAACTTTCAGCCATTTTAGAACGTACGGACCTTCAACAGAAAGATCTTCAAAATGACCAATGAAGTCATACCCGATTTGGCACGGATGAGACACGACATTCTGCGGTAGCCAGTGATCATTTATTGGGGTCATTTTTATGCCACTCCCCACGTCGACAATGTAGTTCATAAATTCGGTCATTGTAATATTCAAATGCTCTCCACCCTTCAAAGTTTTCACCTTTATACCTCTGTACCGTTTAACAATATCTCGTCCATACCAGTTCTCCCACGAACGCTGCAACCGGGAGTCGTTGCCCGTAGCAAGAGCGCAGAACTTGCTCATGTATGTCGAGAGTATACGACTCATCGGATCCCGAACGAAAAGAACTTTGCGGTAATTAGCAATTCGGGTGCTCTTTTCTTCTGCCGAATATGCGCCCAGCTTGAAATGTCCCGTCTTGTTGTGCACATACAGCTTCCTGAAAATTCGTTTCCACGTTGAGCACGACACTTTAGGGATGAAGTTGAAGAGGATTCCGTGTGCATCGTTCACAAGCATGTGACTGTAGTCCACAGGATTCCGGTGAGATTTGTTGAAATGTTTGCAGCCATCACGTAGAAGAGATAGTCTCCTCTCCTGCTCCCTAGCCATGATTTCTTTCAGGGTGGTAGGTGTATCATTTTTAAACGTAGGCATCTAAAGGGCGAGAAACAGTCACCATTAATGTTTTTGCCGCGCAACGGCTACAGAACAATCCGACCAATAGAACTTCACCCCCCCACCACACCCCACCACACATCTCAACAGCGACTGTGCTACAAAGGATTTTCAAAGTACGCTCATTTTCCAAATAATGACGTACAAATTAACTTTGTGCCATTCGTCATAAGACTTTAAGATAATTTTAGCAATCCACTTGAAGATTGCCCAATCGACTCTTTAACCCTAACAGGACGGGGATCGGAATCAGCCCCCTCAACATCTTTGTCGATATCGCTTCAGTGCATTGTTTTTCAGGAATTGGGCCTTAGAGAGTTTTAGAGTAACTCTTTGCTATCATTTTGACACCAACTTTGTGAAAACGGGACATGTCATTCTTGCCCAGCGCACAGACGGGTCAGCCAAATATGTATATTTTTTCCACTGCGGTTGCTCAATGCACGCGGTCTAGCAACAACAAAACCATATGTCTCATTTTTTTCAAACTTCACACTTGTAGTGATAAAGATTGTCATACCAATGCATGCCAAGTTTTAAAAAAAAATTAGTTCGGCACAGCCCAACTCTTAGGAGGCGGAATCCGCCCTGGATTCGAGATGGGCAAAAATAACGGCTCTTTTAGGGTTAAAAAATGTATTTCTTTAACCGTGACGTCTCTGTGTTTCTTTCGTGTTGAAAATACTTTAAGGAAAAGTACGTATATGTACATATTGGCTATTTTGGACTTGAACATTCACTTCAATCTTTTAATTAGCATTTATGTCAATGTATATCCTCCCGTGTAAATAGTTTACGCAGTTATGCGGGCTTCGGATAAGGTGATACCAAACCCTCGAGGTAAACTTACCATTCGCATTCCTTGGGAAAGCGAAATGTGCCCAATCGTCTCTTGTGAATTGCGCAGATCTACGATACAACAATATGAATAAAAATTCAATTTTAATACCTTAATACTAGATTAAGGACTCCGACAATGAATTAAATGGCCAAAATATCCAACTAAAAGCCCTAGTTTGTTTGTGTCTCCCTTGGATCGGTATGATCCCAGTACATTAACGATTACCATAGCACGTCAATAAACATGTAGTATCGATCACGTGATTTGCTACATGCACACACGGACACCGGTCAGGAGTACATAAGCGATGTACCCCATGGGGATGCATTTCTCTGATCTTTCCCGCTGTTGAAAGTGTCATTTATACGGCGTTGTATTATCAGTGTACGAAGCTGTATTAGGGACACGGTGAAATTTCTCTTTCCTTTTCTCCTTAAGCTAACTCGTACGTACGATTTATATGTCGTAGGTACGACTTCTATCTCGTACGTACGACTTATGAATAATAGAACTCGTGCGTACGACATGTCGTACATACGAGTTAGCTCAAAGGGCAGAGGATTTCTTTTCACAAGTCCCTATACAGATTCGTATCAGTGTGACCTCCATACGACGTTGTAGCTACACTGATACTACGGAAATTTATGCATGGCCCTGCAACTACCGGATAAAAAAGAGCTTTCAGCAAGTTGGTGTATGTGTAATCTCCAGTAATTGTATATTTTCATGGTTTCATTTCATTATGACATGTTTTATACTTATTTCTAGTGGATCTTAACGATATTTTGAATTTTTTGAATAGATATCTGTAATCATCCTTTTACCCTTTTGTACTTAATTAAAGATTTTATTATTTTTGTTAGTAATCCAACCATGTCTTGTGATTTTGCGAAACATGGTTTCAATAATTACATTTCGCTTATACAATAAAATTTTCATTGTTTCCGTTTTCCAAGGAGGATTTACACCATTCCAAAGCAGTTCCACCTATGCCTATATGGATTCCATTCTGTTGAAGCACGATAGCATGATCGGCTTCGTCAAACACGCCACACAAGTCTAGCAAGACCAGTGCTATAATTTTTACAGTCATCCCAGCACTCAGGATATTTTCGACACAGACGAAGGTCGCCAGACTATTGCTTACTCTGTGGCAGAGTTGCAACAATCGTCACTAAGTTTCGTGACTTGAGTCAAGTCATTGTAACGAATTGACTCGAGTCGAGTCATTGTCAAGTTGTGACTTGACTCGAGTCTACTCTTTAGGGAAAAAACGTTGAGTCAAGTTGAGTGAAGTCATAGATCGAGTCAATTCAAGTCACCAATATTTGAACATATACTATAAATGAAAGCATGTGAGAAAGTCATTTTGTGGCATTTGAAATTTAACTGTCGTTTTCTACATGTGGTCACAACGCATCTTGCTTTTGATTAAAGTAACACATAACATGAACATGATAAACTGGCACTGTAAGTCACTGCACTTTTTCTTCACAAAGAATTTTGCTTCTATTTTAAGGACTCGAGTCTTAACTCGAGTCGGGTCTTCTGATGAGGGCTCGAATCGAGTAGAACAGAGTTATTTGCTTGCAGTGAGTCAAGTCGATTCAAGTCATTTACCTGTCGAGACTCCAGTCGAGTCAAGTCGCCAGAAATCGTGACTCGAAGAGTCGGACTCGAGTGGATGGTCATTGACTAGAGTCATTGCCACGATGTTCAATGGGCAGACGGGAATGCATCTTGCAGGGCATTGGGGTAAATGACTGACAATAATTATTTCAGAACAAAACATTCTTTTGATAACTTTACTAATGAATTCCAAGTTTGCCCAGAACGAAAGTTTCTTTTCCTCTTTCTCCAGAGACTTTTTCAACAATGGTCTCAAATAGGCAACTAAATTAGAGGCTGTAAGGAGACTTGATCTGCAAGAACAAATTAATCCCTTGATTGCAATAATACGGCAACCTTCAATAATGTAGTCTTTGGAAGTGAAGTACATCGGAAATAGGGCCTATGTTAAATAAAACTGTGTAGTAACGTAGAGTACGAGTTGTAATCGTGAGAGTCAGGCTAAGCAAGAGATACCGTCAACATCAGACGCAGTAGGGGTTTGCTTAACCCATAAGAAAGATATCCAAAGAGCTATACGGTGTAACTTTATAGATGTCAAAAACTTTCGAGAAGACCACATACCATGAGTTCGTACCGTGAAGTGCAGATTATTACGAACGGTAGTTCTGACCAGGAATAAAGACACAAAAAGAGAGCAAAAGGATGATCCACAAAGGAAAAGGAGAACACGTCGTGAGGCAAACATCATCCCGCCCTGATGGAAGCAAAAGAAAACAAACTCGACATAAGGAAGTAAGATCATACCTGAACCACTACTCGAGTGGGAGAAAATAAACTGAAGTCATAGGTTTGCAGTCGTACCAGGCAAAAAAGTCGTTTGCATGTGTGGTCGTGCAAAGAACTGGGGTTACTTTACATAATTCCACAAAACTATTACTTAACTTGCCACCTTAACCTTTATAATTCCAAATCTCATGAGAGATCATACTATTGCCAACTTACACCAACTCGACTCCCTTATTCCCGTAATTTTATGCCTAAAGCTTTCATGTATTTCAGGTGCTATGTATTAATAAAGGCACTCTTCGAACTGTGGCATTTTTGCTGTAAAAAATCGTTTATCAACGGCAATGGGATCGCATGCAGACCAGACGTTTCGGGTTGGGTGGCCAGTGCCTGGTCACTTTGGCATATCACTTGTGGCTCTTTCTTTTGAATAGTCCCTTAACAATTATTTTCTTTTAAATATTATGCGACGGACGGAGGGATACTTAAAACAGTTCAGCTCTAGTCTAATGCTGTGTCAGTCTCTACTAACTATAATCAGATGCCTATTGTCAGGCATATATGTGCGTCATTCGATCATCTGCCTCTGCTTTCTATCTAGTCAAGAATATTATTTGCTCGTTGATGTAAGTGCCAACGGTGCAGCGCTTGAGACTGGGTGGCCTGTGTCGTTATATCTCTCGTGTGCTGTTTACGGTTTGCAGTTTCAGTCCATGCGTCCTTTCGCCCCTTCTGACGAAAGTTTGCCCGAAGTTTTCCCAAAGGTGATGCCAGATCAGTTTATTATGAAAGCGACGAGCACAGCCACGAGTCCATTGCAGTCAGACTTAACGTTTTTCTGGACACCGTCTACTTGAACGATTTGAATCTCGACAGTATACTCAACCTCCATGCAAATTGTGGAAACCTCATGCAAATTGTGTGTAACTGCATTGAACAGTACCCTTTCTATCTGTTATCTGTTACCCACTGGTATTGATTGTGTTCGTGATTGAGACCAGGTGAAGCAGTGACGTGTGTCGTTGCAAAACGAAAGTTGGTTTCGCTCCAAATTGAAAAGTCACTACAGCTTAATTTGCGCTCCGTCGTCCACTCGTTCTCGGTCTGCACTGTTTGCAAAGCGCATACTCTAGCGAGAAAACACAGACTAGACCATTGCAACCACTAACTGAAAAGCATATGCCATCGATGATGAACTCCCTGAATTCACTTCTCCCCTCCAGATCTTTGTTTAGTTTTGTTGATTACTGGTCTCGAGGAACTGCGTCCAGTTGGGCAGTGTCAAATTTCAACCAAACATTGCAGATAGTTCATATGACTGTTCGACTTTGTGCATCTTTTTGTGTTTACCACACCGCGTTTTGCTATTATACCTGAATACAACTATCATATTTAGCTCATTTTAACGTCTGATGTTTTGTTCTTTGACACATAATTACACAATTTGTACTGCAAAGGTTGACTTTTCACCAATCTGAATTGTGAACATGCCTTTAGGACCTTTTGAAATAGACTCTGCGAAAGAAGTCCCAAATGTTACAAGTGACAAATTTGATAAACTGGTTGACTCTTTGAAACCATAACAGTAGTGTGCATAAGTTACACTGATAAGTAACTTATTAGGCATACCATTCTGAAAATCTTGCAAATTATATTGTTATAAAAATAATGTTCTTTTGGCTTTGTGTATTGAGTGTTCAAATGTAGGATTGGGGAAATCCATTATAATCACTGTCATCTCATTGTAAAACTGTCAACAGGTTGAACAAAAAAGCCCAAAGTCTGAGGAAAGCTGTGAAGTTTAAGCTTAATGAAGCCACTTGAAAGAAAATTAAATTAACACTTTCCTTAAACTTCATGGGATTACCATTGAAAATCGGAAAGAAAATTATAATAGTCAAAGTGTGGGTGTCAGACTTAAAAAGGCAAAGTGAAAGGCAGGTAGATTAACGGTAGATTTTTAGTTTAAGCCGACTGAGCATATTCAAAGAAAAGCACAGCGCCGTAACTTTGTCCAAAGTTACCGATAACACTTACATTTCAAATTTTTCTTTTGGGCAATCGAGCAGGGCCGGTTTCTATGATAGGCCTGTAACTCCAAGGAATTCATTAATTTATTCAGTTAGTTTTGTATGTCTATATGACTACCAGTAAGCATTGTGGGTTTTTGTAGTGTATTTCGTGTTGTGTATCTCGGAAATGAGATAAATGAAACCGTAAAGCTTCCTGCCGAGACCTACCGACGTCCTTCTTTATAGAGCATGAAAGTAAAAGGTCATGCAGCGAGCTTCCGGAACCCTCCCGCGGTCCACCTATGGGGATTTTACATTAGGCCGTCCTACCACGTTTGATAATTTTGGAAGAATAACTACTGACTGAAACCACCCCATGAAACACTCACGTTGGCATTTTACCTTTGTCTTTTTCAATCAATATCTAGGAAAAGTCACAGGTAGATGGGTAAAAATGATTTTGCTTAATGACCTTTCACGTCTGGCGATATCGTACCTAGGTCTCCATGTTCATGCACGTTTGTTTTCACTGCCCATGCTTACGTGAAAACGAGATTGTACAACATTGCAAAAATTTACCTACCTGCAGTCGACGGTTTTAGATTCCGTTGAGTTGACACCACGCAGTTGTCAGCAAAGGTTAGAAAAATATTAAAATTTTTAATTATTGAAGTAGAATATTGTTTTAAGTTTATTACCTTATAAACTATAAATTGCGCAAAATATTTTGATCTGTTTTTATTTTGGCTAAAACCAACAGACTACCATAAAATTTCAAACCGTAAATGTCCATCTGCGTACGAGACTGCCTCATTGCACTGTTTTTCATGTATTTTAGATTTTCGGAAGTGATGGGTGAATTTTTGGCAGAATATTTCTCTTTAGGGTCAGGTGATTTTCCATCTTTTTTAACAAAAAAATTAAAAATTCTTAAATCTTTGCACGTTATTTTTCCTACCCAAGGGTTCTGGAAGCGCGCCATCAGGGGTCAACTTTCAGGCTCTATTATGACGTCTGTGGCCCCAGCAGGGCTTTTCTAGTGACACCTGACATGCTGAGTTAAGGATTATTTCAATCGTAGATGACACCTAAGATAAGAGACCAGTAATTAAGCTAAGAGCAATGAATATACCCACTTCAAAATATCAGAAAAAATACAAGTTTCTCAGGTGATCAATACACATATCAATAAATATGTATCATATCGATACCCATCTTTCATTTCCCTTTCATTTTTCAGTGTCTTAACAGATGACTTTTTCGCTCCAGAGAAAATCACCCATCAAACAAGTCATGAAGCCTGTCGCCATTTTTGAAAATTGATGTCTACACTCCGGTACAGTCCACTAATTCCAGCCCCCATTGAAAATATTTTAAGATCGGCAGTGTTCAGGGACCAGTAATTTAAAAATGCATACCAGCATCCCAGGGATTTCCAAACACAAATTAAGTGGTTGTCTTACTCTTCAACCGGAGAGTGATTTCTCCAAAGCCCATGCAGCCATTTCTCAAATGGCAACCCTCAACTTTCTCGGGTACTTAGGACCATTTTTCAACCGTATTATTTTAGCCATTCTCCTCTCGTAATGAAAACTCAAAGACCCAGGGAGTTGATCCTGGCAATGATTTACACAATCTCATCATTTAGGGGGCCCAACAATCTCCTTTTTCAAAAGATACTGTGTGAAATGATGATGGTACACTACCATCCAGTGACACTTCGTCGGCTTCGGGGGTAATTTAACATGATGTTGGGGAGAAAAAATCAAAAGCCTTACTCGGGGTCACGACATCCTTGCCTTTTTTCTTAGTGTTTTTCTTCGGATTTTGTCGGCTGTTGTGAGGGCTACTGTGGCCCTTTCAGAGGGACAGACCACAGTGTTCGAAACGTTGAGTAAAGCGGCTTCTTCCAGAGCCACAAATGCTTACAGAGCTAGCGCATGCTACATGGTGTCACCGCAACCCACTTGCCTTTAGCTTCGTACCCCATTCAGTGATTAAAGGAATTACACCTGATAATGAAAAAAAAATCAGACATACATTTAATTAGTTTTTCAAATGTTTTAAAGAGAAATCAGAAACCATCTAACCAAACCATCATTCAATTGTGCATTTACAGAGCATTCTGAGTCACTATAAACATCCACGATAAAATGACACGGAAGCCGCTATTTTGAAACTCTAAGTTGCATACCAGTCAATGTTCCTCGACTTCAACAAATCAGGGAGAATACAAGTTTCAAGACACATATCAAATTTAAGCTCATCTCTTTATCTTTCACTGTCCTTTCAATTCTTTGTTGCCTAACTGATGATTTTCGAAGATAATTTTCTCCAGAGATGATCAGCCCTATACAAAATACATAGTCATTAGGGCTATTGCCATTTTGAAAATTGATGCCTACAGTCCACTCAAAATAAATAGAGCAATTTGGAGGGCCTGTTTTGTCCAGTTTTAGAAATGCGCGCGTGCGGTCCTTCTGGCAGCGTCAATCCTTTTTTACAATCCATCCAGTCCACGTGCCACGAAATGAATTAACAGACAGTTTGCATGGCTACCATCTTGCATGCCAGTGCTCTTGTTTCATGGGGGTATACAAAAGAGGTTTTCCTGTGGAATAAAAAAATGCCAAACAACATGGTTATCACGCAAAGCCTCTACAGCAGAGGACTGCAGTCGTGACTTGGTCCGCGCAGGCAATTTTTGGCCGATTTAGTGGCCCGCAAGCTAGTTTGGATGACCCAACCACTGCAGTCCCGGACACCCTTCAGTCTAGGTATGAAAAAGACCATGGAGGAAGGAATTATATTAATTATTATATTAGAACTTATAAATCATGTTGGAATAAAATTGCCCCTCCCCTACAAAAAAATCTGTCGCTGAGGCTACACTGTTGTTGCATGTCCAGAGGCGTACCATAAGCACACAAACTGAAGTAGTACAGATGGGAGAGTTCTGGACCAGCTTTTTTCCCTTGAGTACCTACCAGACTTAAAAGTGAAAGAAATCTCCCAAACCCTCTGCCTCTACCCTGCCTCTACCCCCAAAGAGTGCTCAGCCACTCAAGCGGTACTCAGGGCGCTCAGCCCCACCCGGCTGCCTTGCTGCCTTCCTACCCCCACTTCCCCTCTTTCACTTCCTCTCTCGCTTCCCAACGACGCAGTTTTTTAAAGGAAATGAAAAACTATCGACGTATATTAAAATCGACTCGCAAGACTCATCAAACATGGAAACCGAACCACTTGCT